CTACCAAGTCAAAGTTCGTCGACCTCGAGCCCAGCACCAGCCTACATCTGGCAAATGAAACAAGGCCCTCCTCGGTGAGCGGTGACCGGGCATACCTAGTACGTATCAAACCAACGCAGCTTAATCAGTGTTAACCGTTGTTTTAAAGGAGATCAGCGGTATGCCGGTACGCAGTATTCATGCTTCGCTGCCGCGTAACCGCCAACAGTCGCACATGGGCTTAGGATACTGCGAAAGTCGCCCGGTACACTTCCCACGCTCGAATCCACGCCATCGGATTACAAGGCAGGTCTGTGACCCTTTACGCCACTGAGCCGGCTATCTGTTGTTATAAAATACTAGCACCTGCCTACGCATGTCATCGCCTCCAGTGCTGCGTTACGATGATCTTGTAACGCCCCAAATGATAACTACCATCTTCTAGGTACTATTTATTGTTGACCAATTGTACATTACTTGCTTGTTTTAATCTTCCTTACAACTCGCTCGACACTCGACGGCCTTGCAAGATACCGCGCTAACGTACTGCTCTTGCCTCGCTTCATCCGTCCGCGTCTTCTTGTAGCCCATCGAATACGGTCCGCTGTGACCGACTCCAAGTGCCTTTTGGTATCCGCGTTTAACTTCGCGCACCGTCTCGGAATGGTATTTACTAGTCCTACACAATTCCTTCACATTTCGTGCCGTAACATCGATGACGCCCTATATGAATGCCTTCAACGCACTGCCTCTGAGGTCGTGAGCTCCCATCGTGAATCATGTTGAGTAATAGTGAATGACAAACGCCTTCTGGCTAACCATCGTCCTCTCAGTATATGCAGCCGTCATCCTGGCCATGTACAATACGGAAGATGAGTCACCCGCATCATCCATTTCCCTACCTGCATCTGGGTTTGCTACACCCAAACCAAACCGAAGCCGCACTCTCTCCGCTACGTCGGCCGAGTCATTACCTTCCAGTAAGATGATGTGTCGACCGGAAAATAAGCCAAAGACGTATGCTGCCGTGGCGAGCGCCACCGCTCCAACAATAACCAGCCTGTGCCCAGCTGAAAGCATGCCCCCACGAAAGCTGGTCTCTAAGGTCAAGGCGAAATCCAACACCTGAGATAACTCTTCCCTAGTGAAGGGAAATGTGATCACAACCTTAATCAGTCAAAGCCCAGCCACCAATGCCGCTAAGTTTAATCCCAAATCCGCGGATAAACCCAATCCTAAGCTCTCAGTCGCAAACGAAGCTAGTTCTCAATAGACTTTCTGAGCTAGAGAAAATGATCAAAGAAAATCCGTCCTCTCACAGACCGCAAATCCCTGAGCGCACTCCACCTTCCCGGGACCGTTGCCTCATCATCAGGAACGCAGTCGAATCGAACAAAGCCACCTCAGCGGAAAGAATTCTGGATGACCAAATACTTTTCGAGCGCTTGGTCTCTTTGTTATTTGATGAAGGGGAACAGGGAATTAACATCGTCTCTGCATTCCGGCTCGACAGGAAGCAAGAGGATCCACCCAAAGTTCGCCCCCTCAAAGTCGTGTGTCAGACGGAAGAGGAATGCCGACGTATTCTGCGACGGACCTCGCGTCTCAAAGGTGAGCCATATTACGTACTACGTGATCTTTCTCCAGAGGATCGGAGAAACATGAAAAAGACCGTTGAGGAGCTACGAACACGCCGAGGAAATGGTGAAACTGACCTTCATATTGTGGATTTTTGCGTGGTTCGGAAGACCCTGAGAGCCCGTTGGAGACCCATTCTCCTCATCCCGGGACAATAAAGCACACAAATGGACTATGCGTGTTAACCGCCAATGTGCGCAGTTTAAGGAATAAATTGGATGACATTCATTTGATTGCCTAAGAGACCCGTCCAGACCTGATGGCCTTCACTGAAACCTGACTATTCACCGACATCACGGATTCTGAGGTGTCTATCCCCGGTTACCACCTCTCCCGATCCGATCGACAAGGAGGGAGGTCCGGCAGTGTCGTAATGGTCTATTGGAAGACTGATATCAAAGTACATGTAGTTGAAGTGACCAGTGACAAAGACGATGAGTTTGATGCCCTCTGGTGTCGTGTTCATGATGGACGGAGTTCTCTCACATTTGGTGTCGTCTACAGAGCACCTTCAGGATCCGGAGCCCGCTTGATGGACTCAATCATGAAGAATGGTGCACGAAAGGATTGTCTTATCGTTGGGGATCTCAATGCTCCTTCTGTTGACTGGAATCTGCTCCTTTGTGACCGACCTAGAGTCCTTCGAGGCCAATTTACTGGAGACCATTCTTCATTGTAATTTGCTCCAACACGTCACTACACCAACTCGTATTCCTCCAGATCAGACGCCGCATATGCTGGATCTCGTGCTCTCCCCAGCACAATCAGACATCACGAACCTTTCAGTTCTACAGCCCATTGGAAGCAGTGCTCATTGCACTATCTCAATCCAGTGATCACGTCGCTTCGCTGTTCACAGCTAACGTGCCGACCGCCGGAATTTCTGGCGTGCCGATACACTTCATCTGAAAACGGCCGCAAGCACTGTCGATTGGAGTATCCCTGAACACCCCAATATTGACGAAGCGTGGAATCACTTGTACTCCAAGCTGACGTTACTCATTGAACAGGTCATCCCCTTCTCCAAAGGCCCTCCATGGATCGATCACGAATTGAGATCAATGATGAAAAGAAGGCGTAAACTATGGGATCGTTCCAGAATTACGCGATTTGAGCTTGACTACTGCATTACAAAACGGTCAGGAATGCTTGCAACACAAAAAAACGAGAAACGCCAAAATTACGAACTATCATTAGCTGCAGTTTCCAGTACAAACTCCAAGGCGCTCTTCTCATACCTCAAACGAAGCACCAAAGCTGGCAGTGGGATCACTGCCTTGGCTCCCTGTGAGCATTTGGACCTAGTTTACGAAAACGTTGAGAAAGTTAGCCTTTTGGCCCAGCAATATTCCTCTGTCTACTCGACCGAAACGCCACTCCCAGACAGCGTTGCACCCACTCCTCCTTCCCTGCTGGAGCACGTGAATGTTACCACTGACGTTGTGATGAAACTTCTTGACCTAGACCCATATTCCTCGCCTGGTTCCGATGGATTATACCCATTGTACCTTAAGACCGTGGCTGGACACATTGCCGCTCCTGTCTGTCAAATCTTTCGTCGTTCTCTTGAGGTCGGGCGGCTTCCAACTGCTTGGAAGGTGGGAATCGTTAAATCCATTTACAAAGGAGGGAACCGACAAAATCCAGCCAGCTATCGTCCCACCTGCCTGACTTTGATTTTTTGCAAAGTTATGGAACGGGTCCTTCGCCTTCATCTCGATGAGTTGGAGTTCCTCTCTCATGTATAAACATGGTTCCCGAAGGGCGCGTTCGTGCGCCACAAATATGCTGGTAGCTAGGGAAAAATGGGCAAGATCCTTAGGTGCCGGTAAGCGTCTGGATGCTGTGTTTGTCGATTTCAGTAAGGCTTTTGACAAGGTCCCACATGAGCAGCTCTTCTTCAAACTCCGGGGAATCGGTGTCACTGGTAATTTTCTCTATTGAGTCTCCGATTTCCTGGACGGTCGCTTCATGCAGGTTAAAGTTAACGAAGCGCTTTCTGATCAAGTTTTATGACCAGTGGGGTGTCTGAAGGTTCTGTACTCGGCCCCGAACTCTTCAATATCTTTATCAACGACCTGCCATTTGAACTGCAAACCGGCTGCTTAATCTACGCGGATGATCTTAAGCTGTGGATTGAGGTATCCAGTCTGGAAGATGCAGGCAGACTTCAAGCGACATTTGATCTGCTCCAAGATTGGTCACTAAAGTGACAGTTGCCCATTAACCGTGAAAAATGCGCTGTTTTTCCAATCGGTGCTCCTGAGCCTTTCGGGGCTTACTATATCGGGGGTTTCTTGCTCATAAATGTCAACAAATAGAGAGGGATCTCGAGGTGGTTGTGTCTCCTGATCTCAAATCAATCGAGGACACCCAGAAGAGGGTCGCATCCGCCTACAGAATACTTCACGCCTGACCCCAGCACTCTTCAGACTACTGTTTTCTTCGCATGTACACTCAGTTCTTGGGTACGGATTGCATGCTGAGTACCTGCTCACAAAGTCCGAACGTGACATGATCGAGAAGATTCAACGGCGTGGATCCAAATCCGTTCCAGAGTAGCGGGACTTATTCTACCTCCTACGGCTACAACGGTTGAACCTGTTCCCTTTGGATTATCGTCGTCGCCGCGGAAGTATGTTATTCACTCGGCGTATTCTACGAGGTGAGCAGGAGAGTGAGCTGCAATTGTTCTTTTGTCTCAACACAAGTTGTGCAACTCGAGGCCACCGGCGGTAACGTTTCAAACCGCGGCGACTCCGTGTGCGGTCCGATCTGGCCCTATCCACCCGGGTAGTGAATGAATGGAACAGCTTCCCAGAGGCTGTCGTCGATGCGGAGACAGGAATGTTTCAAACGACTGTTGGATACCCACTCTCTGAGTCCGCAGGGATTCTGCTGCCCACAATACATCCATAGCGATCTTCTGCTGCAATGATCCCAGCAACCCTCGCAACGTTCGGGAAGTGACGGGGTTGACAAAGAAACTTCCTTCTGCTCTCTAACAACCAATGAATCTGGGAGACAATTTACGCGAGTTGGAGATGTGATTAAAAACACATGTCCTAGATGATTTCCCCAGTAACCGTAAATCATCCCAAATATGTCACACTATGACGGCCAAGGGCACAGAAAACGGTCATGCAGGGCATCTTGACGAACACTTCGGTGGATACGCCTCGACTACTCGTTTAAAGCGATTCATGCAGTACATTTTATTTGTCCTAACAAGCTGTACTAAAATCAGTAGGTAAAATGAAATGCGGAAAAGGAATTGTCAGCGACAATGCGGAATGTAAAAGTCAAAATAGAAATGAACATTACAGTAAAAGTAGTGAGTGACAATAGGACCGAACTTACATCTGAAAGTCGAGTTAACTTACATGGATCTCGTCTCCGTACTTTATGCCACACTGGACGCATTCCGGTGCTAAATAGTGCGCCTCGGTAAAGAGATATCCAGCATCATCAAGCTTTCCATAATGATGTTTATAAGCAAAGAGCGCGCCGTGTAACAAATGTGGTGGTGCTTGCAATCGAATAGCGATCTTGTAAAGTAAACCCGAGGCGATAATAAAAAATCCGACTGTAGTCAAAAGAAGGAAGAAAAGGAGTGCAACGGCGTACAAGTATGGAAGCATCAAAAGGAGCGTCTAATTATTCGGCCGCGTGCAGTTTAGATCAGATCAGACAAATTGGTCCGTGACTGCGAATAACGTGCGTACTAATACGGGGAAAATAATTTACTGTTAGGTAATGTAGCGTACAATGCTCTAAGTAGGAGCAAGTCATAGTTGCTAAGAAGCCACTTGCTTCTGCGGGCATAAATGAAGGTGCTAGTCTGTTATATCGATCGGCCTTGGCGAATAGCCGGCAGCTGTTCTCCTGGTTTCTTGGTTTAGTTAGAAGCAACGGTAATGTGCTGGAAAATACCTGGGACATAGTTTCACTAGTACAGAAGCTAATGGTTCCGGCAGATGCAACCGTTCAGGTAGCCAACTCCTTCAAGCTGATAACAGCTAACCGAACAGCCACTGATTCCGTAGATTTGAAAACAGTGACGTTTGGGCAAGATAGGATGCAGCGGCCATCGGTCATTTGCGTCAGACGACCTTGTCTGAAATATGGTGCGTATGGCCAATGGATGGCCAATGCGGTTCACAGGCTACGTTGATAGGACTACATTTACTTGCTACCGTTCAAATCGACAAACGGATCTGCGCTGTCCAGTAGGTCAATACAGTCCCACATGCAGCTATTTATTTGCTATCTTTCTATGGCTTTGCCGGCTGTTACTGGTGTGGAATTAGGGAATATGCTCATCAAATATCTAACACCTCTTTGCCTTGGTAGGTATGAATAAATAAATAAATAAATATTTTATTCTCGACTAGGCGAGGCGCGCCCATGGAGGCACGACCAGATATGTACAACTGTACAAACGTTTTATGGCAACCGTGACGGTGACAGTAGATAATTGTTCATATGTCCATGAGTGGAACTATACAATGGTGAAAATGCGAAACAATAATTTGGCTGTCATGAGATACGGGACCTCATCTAATAATAAATCGAGAACCCTGAATGATCCGTTGGAAGGTATGGAAGAGCACGCTCAAGAGATATTTGCCAATAGAGTGTGTTCGTGCACAAGTAAGGCAAAGTCAACGTATCGTAGGAAGTAAAAAGACGACAGTATATGCAGATGTAGCAGTTCCAGTATAACGAACTTTTCTAGAATTATGACGCTAGATGACCTACCAGTGTGAAGTTATGGGCTGTGACTTCATTTGGTGGCGAGTCACATACGCCATGTCGCAGTGTTGTTAAACGGACATCTGTGGCTTTTTATAGGGAGAAAGCTAGCCAGGCGAAAACCCACCAGTAATGGAAAACTGCCGCCAATCCATTGAATGGCAAATTGTAACTGGCTATGTTTCTTGTTGAACGTTTGTTTGCTCGGTTATTCGCAGTCAGGTTGTGTCCCATTTTTCTGCTGGCTGATGCCTTAGCTGGTTGCTTGTTGCGCTCCTGGGTCGTGTCCATTGCTAGGTCGGGTACTATACGTTCTTTCTGAATATGATGTGTTGATCCTTTGCGGAACCACGTGAAGTCTTCGCTTATTATGTGTTGTTGCCGGGGAGCGAAAAATTCGTGTCCAGCTACCCACACTGGACATCGATTTTGGGTGCAGATGGTTAGAATGGAAATGATTCCATGGTCCAGGTAAGTTCTTTTTGGTTAGTTCGTCCCATCCCAGACGGAGGCAGTTCCTCAGTTCAATCCCGAATCTCTCAAATGTTCACGACCTCAGAGAAAGGGCAGAGAGGAACAGGCCGAGCGAAGACCGAAAAGGACAGTCAATCTACCTAACATTGGATCAAAATCCTACTTTAAGACATTTACTTGAGACAACTAGTGTACAATGTGTAACAGATATTATGCTAAAGATGTTTTAATTACGCGGATGGCGTGGCCTAATGGGTAAAATACTATCATGTGCGTAAGGATAAAGTGCAGGATTCCGGTAAGAAATTCATGCGGTATAAGCTAACGATGTTCGAATTCTGCCTGGGACTAGAAGGTGGGTATGTAGTCACGATTAGTTGTTATCGGAAACCAAAAGATACAGTGACGATGTGGCCGTATTTATATATGCTCCACGGGATAAGGATTACATAAGACACAATAACTATAATGTACATGGGTGTATGAAGAAAGGAAGCTGAGCGTACTAGAAGCAGACTAAGAGTAAATGGATATGAAAGCAAGACTAATTGTTGAAGGTAAAACGCTCAAAATATAGCGATAATGGACCGGGTTTCGGTGACCGAAAGTGCCTGTTGGGTTAATCATTCCAGTTACTATTGAATAACTACATTGTCAAAGGATAGGACAGCAAACCAGCTGAGCTATGGAAAAACTATACCAAGAGAATAAACATTCCACGAAAGGACTGACCCTTAGCGAGCTACGGGTATTCGCAAAGTTGAATGGAGCCTACAGCGACCAGCTGCTGCTGAGCAGAGATAGTAGCTATAGGAAAGGATGTATCAGTGGCTGGTGTAGCCATATCATTAAGACGTTTGACCATAAGCTGGAGCCCTAGAGTTTCAATAGGTAAATGAACGAGTGAGCGGTTATAGAGATAAACCATCCAAAAAAAAGTAGGAGAGCAAACGAGTGACTCCGTCCTTACGTGGGGCCAACAATGGCTAGCTGCTGTCAAGAAGCGTTAACGCGAGTAAGACGAACGACGCATAACGGCGCGCTAGGAGAGAGAAGAGTGGTCGGCAATAGAGTTCGGATTAAGCCTTCAGTTACTAGTGGATCCTACGGTGACACAGCATAGGGCAACAAACCAACTGAGCTGTGCCTCAGACAATTCAAGAGAATAAACATTGTAAGAAAGGAGCGACTCCTAGAGAGCTCCGGATATCCGCAAGGTTAAAAGGGAGCTATGGCGACTAGCTGCTACTAAGCAGAGATAGTGGCTCTAGTAAAGGATGTATCAGTGGCTGGTGTAACCATATTACTAAGATGTTTGACCACTACTGGATACCTACAGTTTCGATGAAGAAATCAACGTGCAAGGGAAGCTAAGAGAGACGGAGGTCAGAAGAAAATGAAGGCTGAAGTGTCAAGGAGTGACTCCTTGCAAGCTGTATGGAGCTAACAATGACTAGCTACTGAACAATGAACAATGAATTTATACGGGTTAAGAAGCGTTGCTTTACAAGCCCCGTTGGATAGTTGGTGGGGATATCAACATAATAATTATGATGAAAAGGATAGTAAAATAGTCAACACTTTAAATTCGAAAATGAGGACTTATCGTTTGCTTCGCTGCAGTCCTGCGATCCACTTAGATTCACAACACCCACAGTTAACAACAAATAATTCCAGGGTAAACTCCAGGTGTAGGATGGAGACATAGTGTTAAGTAACAAAGTGTAAGTGGATGAGTGCATCGTCCAACCGTCTTTTAAATATTGTTAGTGTCGGTGCAGAGACGACCGATTCTGGGAGAGCATTCCACGGGTGACAGACACGGATGGAAAAGAAATTTCTGCGGCACTCCAGACGACTGTATTGTTCTGCGAGTTTTAATGAGTGGCCCCTCAGGTTTGTATTGCTGCTTAGTTGCAGTAAAGGGCGGCACACATGATGTGGGTCTCGCAGAATCAAGTATGTCATAATCAGGTCGCCTCGTAGCCTGCGATAGCTTCCACTGAACAATCCTAGTCGTCGCAGCCTCTCCTGGTAGGACAGATTGCGCATTCCAGTTACGTTCTTAGATGCCCAGCGTTGAGGCTGCTCCAGTGCGTTAAGGTCGTGTTTCAGCCATGGATGCCAGGCTTGAATTGCGTATTCGACGTGGGGCCGAACATACGCACTGAGCATTTGTCGAAATATGGAGCCGTTTATTTGTCCAAATGCCCGCCTCAACAGCCCAACGTGTTGATTCCCGGTCTTCGAGGCCTTTTCCGATTGCCTGGAGCAACCCAAGTCATCTTGAACCAGGATACCCAAGTCACGTTCGAGAGTTGATTGTTGCAGTACATCCGTTCCGAGTCGGTATGAGTAGCTGCCCTGATGTCGGATGGAAAGCACCTTGCATTTACTGACCTTGAAATGCAATAAGTTTTGGATCGACCATTGATACACTGTTTCTAAGTCACTTTGGAGCACATGTTGGTCGGCGTTCGCCTGGATCCTGCGCCAGATCTTGATGTCGTCGGCAAACATTAGGAAGTTTGAAGCGATTCCCTGTGCAAGGTCATTAATAAACACCAGAAACAAACGTGGACCTCGAACCGAGCCTTGCGGCACACCACACTCCACTTGTATGGGGTCCGATAAAGAGCTCCGAACTCTGACCACTAATTGCCTTTGAAATAGAAAGTTGGCGATCCAGCTTAAAAGAGGGTCTCCGATCCCGTAACGCTGTAGCTTGGATAGTAGTATCCGATGGTCTAGACGATCGAAAGCCTTGGAAAAATCCAGGTAGATCACATCAACACCTTCTCCAGCGTCGGCTGCCTCCGTCCAACTACTGCGTGCAATTAGTAAATTCGTTGTACATGACTGCTGTCGACGGAAACCGTGCTGTTCAGGAGTGATGAGGTTGCAGTTTTCCAGATAGCACACCAGTGCATCGGCAACTATAGATTCCATGACCTTGGATATTATAGGAAGAAGGGTTACTGGGCGGTAGTTGGAGGGATCAGATCTGCTTCCACCTTTGTGAATCGGGCTTATTATTCCAAGCTTCCACATGGCGGGAACTTGGTTCTGGTCTAAGCAGTGCTGGAAAAACTGAGCTAAATATCCTGCCAGTTGGTTTGCTGCTACTCCCAATGCCTCAGGACGAATGGCGTCGACACCCGGCGAGCTGTGTTTGCGTAGAGAGGTCAGCTTTTGCAATACAGCCTCTGCGGTAAAACTGACGCAAGTAAGACGCACGACAGATAACGGTTCACTAGGAGAGAGATGAGTGGCCAGCAAGAGAGTTCGGATTAAGACTTCAGTTACTAGTGGTTCCTCTTACAACCTGCTCGTGGTGCCAGCTGGGGCGTTATGATTAAGTCTATTCCAGCGGATGGTTCAGCTGTAATGTTTCGGGACATGGTGGAATTCAACCTGGCAGGCTTACTCCCTATAAAAGGAACAAAATTGTTCGCTTTACAATACTGCGACGTGGTGACTTTGATTCGACACTAAGTAAAGTCAGTTCCCGTTATCCAGTACATGCTTCTCTTTAACCCCCTCTCAAGCAGACGGTCTGAGAGGACATATGCAAACCGACGGTGCCTATTTTACGAATGCAAGTAAAACAACTGAAAACATTCATACCGACAAACGCACAATTACACGTCACAGAATCAATTTGTCACCGCTAAACTTGCAACATTAGTGCACATTTGCCAAATATTCGTATTGGTACTGCTACGATTATACGTATTAACTCGTGCCTCGCTATGTCAAGATTAGACTATTTATTTATTTTCAGCGTGTGCTCCTTGGCGGGCGTAACCCTACTGTGAACAATGCATATGTGAACGGTGTAATTAACAACTGACTGGACCTGCTCGACCGTATTCAATGGCCGTAGGTAGAGGG